TTTAAACATAATCTACATAGATAGAATTTCTTTACAATCTCCCATCTCTTTGATACAGAACTTTGTGTAAATTTTTTACATTCCAAAGCATTTCTGTAATTATCATTAAAAATTTTGCATTTACTGATTGAGGTATCATGAAGATGTATACGTCCACTTTTATAATTATTATTATGTTTGTCATTATCTTGAAAAGTTAAGTTTGGTAGTGCTGTACAAACGTTTACACTCATGTTAAAAATCCATTCAGCGAAATCAGACAAACCATTAAATTTAACAATCGTACTTCTATACAATGCCCAATTAACTTTAATTTGGGAGGGAAGTTTTTCTATAAGTTCATGCATTAATGTCGGATTATTCAAATATTCATTCAAATTAGCAGCTTGTAAAGATACACATAAATTTTTAACTTTCAAACCAAATTCCACAAGTGATTCCAATTTTTCTACTTTGGGCGAGGGTTGATTCCTAATTAGATTTATATGTGCATTTATGATCTGCTCTGGCCTTCCATATAGAATTTTAAGTGTTGAAATTATCTGGGGAACACATTCTGGTAAAATTAAAAAGCTTGCTACACTTGTTTTCGCTACACCTTTAAGACATTTTTGTAATCTGAATAAATTCTCATCATTGCTCAAGTTATATAATTTTGTAGAACGTTCAAAATTACTATAAAACAACGGCCATTCAGAAGGATTTCCACTAAATATTGGTAAATCATTAATCGTGTTTTTTCTTATTGCATTACATCCATGCGATATCAAATTTGTCGATGGCAATTGGTTAGGTGAAGGTAACATGTTAGTTGGTTGTGTTCCAGCTTCCAACGGGAACTGGTCTGGCAAATGTCTGTTAGTTTCAACTAAAGGAGTCTTCTGTATTTGCCTTCCTCTATTATAAACAGGTGATAATCTTCGTAAACGGATTTCGATTGGTTCTTCTTGAATGTTTCTTGGTATAATATTTTTTGCTAATATTCTTGGTTGGTAAATTTGTTGTTCCTGTAACACGTTAGAGGTGAAAATTTGACACTCGGGTAATGTGTCAATTCTATTAACTTCTTCATTAAGCAAATTATCATTAAAATTTTGTAGTGATTGGAATGTATCTTTTTCTTTCCTGGATATATTATTTTCTATTTGTAAAGACAATAATTGTATAACCTAAATTTCCCAGTTATAACACCAGCTAGCTCAAAAATATAATGATAAAGAAAGTAGTACTTACTAAACATGGGTCTCTTGGACCTGGGCATTGTTCTCAGCAGAAGGAATCAATAAAAGTCAGCTTCAAAACAAAGGACAATATTTAATTACTAAACCTATGTAGCTTTGGGCAATAGATCAGATAACAGGTAACAGTTGAAATGTAAGTAAATGTATAACAATAATAATCGACATCAAAATATTACCCTAAATAATAAAGTCGTGTTCACATAAGGTCAACGTATTGATTACATAAGGGCAATTAATCAATTACGCTAGACATTTAACCTTTAATTATAAATATGCAAAATCATCCCCTAAAATACCATGGTATACCAGGCGCAAGACGATTATATTTATAGCATGACAATGCCAAGAAAATATGTAACTAGATATATAATAAAACACTCTACCTCAGTAACATTCAACTCTTGAGCATCATTCTAATTATTATGTAAGAAATAAAATAGAGCAGTTATACATTACTCAATCCTGCTGGTAAAATGAAATCAGCCACCAGCCTGGAAAGGATGAGAAACGTCCAGAAGCTACATCAGCTGCTACTGCTACCCATTAGCTACGTGCATTGTGCACCAAACACTAGACTTGATTTAGACATCAACATCAGACACCGGAACAAGACACCAACCAAAAACAACGCCCTAGAAAAGGTATTCAGCCTTAGTTCCAGAACTATATTAAATTATAACTAGCTTTGACAGCACAAAGACTAGCACTAGACGGCCTCGACAAGCCGGGTCTACGAAGTCTGCACATTTAGAATGAACTTAACGTCACACAAATGGCGCTTTCATAATAGCCCATCATCTAGATTTTACTAAGCAAAAACCCTATATTTTATTCCCTCCCTAGTATATAAAAATAGATAAAAACATACCTTCCAACAATCACATTCCTACAACGCCTAAGGACATCATTTCCTCATCCGGCAACACCGTAATTGTCGAAAGGGCATATCTCTCTAATATCACCATCAAGGCACACGTAAGACGGCGGAAAGGCAGGACAAAAATGGACATATAAGCCCTTGGGACCAACTTTCTATAAGTGACGAGAAACTAGGTAATAGTATGGAAATGTGTAGCCAAGAACCATGTGGTTCTTGGGCAGCAAAAGTATAAGATAACTTACCAGTCACGTGGTCAAAAATCCCTTACAAAAAGGTTTGTGGAAATCCAAAATTACACGTGCCTCCAGCACAACTTGCGGTTTATCCAGTAAACCAAAGAAACGGATTCCACGCGAAAACTGTAGCCAAAACCCCTTATGTACAAAGGCGAATCCTAGGACTCAAGCAGGCTTAGCAGCTAAAACGACCATTCAGGCTGAAAGTTGGGGTAGAAAAGACCGAAGAAAGAACTTGAAAGGTTCAATTTCCCCCCTAATGACAAAACTGCAATGTCATGGTCAGAACCAGGGACGACTCGTCTCTCTGGGTCTGTTGCCAAAACTCAAAATAATTTCCATACAGTCCCAAAACACAATAGAACTCTTTAAAATCTCAACTAGTTGTTAATTTCCTCAGCTAAATTATAATTTACACAGAAAATTTCAATTCATGAACAAAACGAAGAAAACTTACTGTTGCTACAGACAGCAACACAGTAACAATTCTGTGAACTACGCCAATGACTTTGATTTATCGGTGAAACCTTGACCCATTTACTCCAAGCACCTGTGCGACATCCCAAGACCGCTAAATAATAAAAACCGAAGTGTTCGGAGCACACAGCTGTTCAAGATCAAGTTCAAGTGTCAAAATAATAAATCATAACCCAATAATTAACGGATGGTAAACAAAGCACTGGGCCCCAATTTTTAATAAAGGTAAGTATTGAAATTGAATTCTATTTCATCTTAAGTCATCCTTTTACATTTCAGACGCAGTCCCACAAGGAATATTTCCCCGACAAAACAAGAATACAGGAAAACAGAAGCCCCCTGCCAACCTGTCGGAAAATGAATTGTTTATGTCCATGAAATGATTAAAATAAAAGGATATTAATTAAAAACAATCTTAGAGCTTTGGAATACAATATTAAATGAGAATTTATATAAAACTAACAAATTGATACAGTGAATTTTGAACTGTAACAATTGATTGGCTTCAAAATTATCTTCTTGTTCTTCTGCATCACTAACATTTTGACTTTCATTATTAATTTCTTCATTTAAGATTCTTCGAGACTCTCTGGCTAATTCTCTTTCTTGTCTCAAAAGATCTCTTTCTTCTTGTAGAAGTTGTAACTTCCTTTTTGCTATACTACTAATTGTTGAAACAGTATTACTTTTTGTATGATGAGAACGTGATTTTCCCCTTTTGGAAGTTTTTTTATTCTTTTGTTCGCAACTTGGACAAATCCATGAGTCATTCTTTGCCACATCATTAGATACATTCACGCATTCATAACAACACCACTTTTTGCATTCAGTACACTCGACCATATTTTCTTCTCGGTATTCTCGTTTACACACAGGACAGAGGTCATCATTGGAGCATCCTTTACTTGTATTCGTAGTTGGAGCCATTTTTAAATGTTGACCCAGTAATTATGTGCAACTTACTCGAATCCAATTAAATTATTTTAATATAGTTTTGTGATCTTGTGAGAGCTTACGATACCCTCGGTGTAGGAATATGTAGTACCAAACTGGGCAATTACTCTGTCTCAATTGACTGTCTTTCTATTTCGCCACGAATTTGAGCTTTGTTGGAAATGAGACTAGATTTGTAGTGCCTTTCAAAAATCTATAATTTATTTCTAGCTGTGCTAGTAGCACTCAAATTCCTAAAATGTATATAAGCTCATAATTTTATAATAATAATAAATACAAATAACTCACGCTAGCCTCTATAAATTCTCACTTCTGAGCTTAGATTTTTAGTGGATTTCTGACAAATTTAAAATGAATTTTGACAACGTTTCTATTTTGCTGGTTAATTTTACAACAATATAGAGCGCAAGTACTTTTCAAATTAATCAAACGAAACAAAAAGAACAAATTAATAAACTATTCTTAACACGCGGTATTTATATTAAATCGATCCCCCCGCAAAGTATTATTAATTATCCCCCAAATCGTCAATAGGCGTTCGTTTGCCTAGCAATCCGAATTCCATTGGCCGACCTAAATATTATTAAAAATAATGATGCAATTTCCTTGAAATTTTTATCATTCTTAGTTTAAAAAAATCAAATAATTATGTCGCAATACCCTAATTTATCGAGGTCAAAACATTATTGGTTCAAGAATGCCATAAATCATTTATAATTACTTGGCCTCGCTCTTTTAAGTTCATTGATTTAGGAGATGACACAGGCTTGATGACGAAACACCTAATATAATATTGAACGTTAATTTGTTCCCTTTTCAATTTATTGATACTGATTTGGAGATACCGAAAATTCTGTTTTTGATTATTTAACATTTATTAAATTTTTACAGTAAAGACATTGTGATTTATGGGTCTATTTTCTCCAAATATTACACTACGTTTGAGATAAATATGAAAAATTTTTGATAGAAGGGCCTTAATTTTTCTCAAACGAATGACTAATTAATTAGAGTGATTTCTTGTTTGCAACAGGTTCCCATTAATTTGCACTATCGCTAGCCCATTGGGCTCAGATTACCGGTATAGCTGAAAAAATTGATTTCTCAACCAAACTGCCACCAATTTCCGCCTTCGAAATTTCTGTCTCTCATTGTCCAAAAGAAACTTCCAAAGTTGCAATTTAGGTATAGTAAATTTCTGTTTTTTTATAGGCATTACTACTGTATTGACAATGACTACAATCAGTACCGGAGTAAGGAGCTCATTGCCACGTATCAGCTACGTCAAAGCCATTGACATTTATCTGGTAATGTGTTTCGTGTTTGTTTTTGCTGCCCTGTTGGAATATGCGGCCGTGAATTATACTTATTGGGGCGCGAGGGCCAAAAAAAAGAGCAAAAAAGCCAAGGAGCAGGAGGAAAATAAATCTGGTAAGGTGACCGCCATCAAAGTTTGTGATTTTTAACTGAAAAATAAAAATTTAGGTTCTAAAACTGCAACAACAATCTCCTCTTGCAACCAAGCCCAAAAACACTCATTTAAAAATGAAGACATAATTGAGCTGCAGGATATCAGGATGAGCCCGTTACCATCAATAAGAAACCGAAAATTATCCATGAAACTCAGCAGCTCGCAGGAGGATGGAGGTGGCAGTTTTCCACCGAGTTTTCGGTATAGCAGGTCTTCGGGCTATATGTACACTTGCAGGCAGAATCCTGGTTTGAGGTTTAGAGGTAAGAGTATCTAATTTATTTAGGTATGATAATCTTGAAATTTTGATTCTTATGTATATTTTTCTGGAGTAACCATGCCTGATCGTGATTTATTCCTGTTGTTTCAGGTAATCCAGTACATAAACCGAAAGTCCTGCACGCCATTCGTAAAGGTGCTTTGGTCCTGAAAGCTTCCATGCCGAAAATCAAAGATGTCAATGTGATCGATAAATATTCGAGAATTGTTTTTCCTGTTACTTTTTTAATTTTCAATACGATTTATTGGCTGTTTTATATTTTGGAGTGATTTTAAATTTCAATACTGCGGGAATTTGAACAAAAGAAACACACTTCAAAAAGTTCAGAAGTATATTATTTTTATATTTCTAGTTCAATCTGGTAGGTTGAAAAGCACTGTACATTATATACTGTCCATAAATCCTTAGCAAAAATTTATTGTTCTATGTGAGTACATTAGGTAGGTACATGTTATGTTTTCTAGATAAGTAAACAACTATTGGCTTGACATTTGAACATTTAACACAGGGGCATATTATTTGATGTTCCCTATTTTTAGAAAAAAAAAAAAACAGCCAATCGAAATATTTTTCCGATAAAATCCAATAATCTTGTGCAATAATCTCACGAAAAAAATCGTTTCAATAAAAAACAAAAGACTTTCGTCGTTGTGTAGTTTTTTTGAAAAGAACTCTCGTTTCTCATATGGTATAAAAATATCACTATTACCAAAGAATATTATAGATTAACGTCTCTAGAAGTCTCGTCCGTATTCTGATTTTTGATACCTCGATGGACGCCGGCTTTTGCTGGTGTGGACGCTGGCTCGAGTCTATTGCCCACTGTTGCCGAGTTGTCAGTGCTGTTGATTCAGCGTCCAGCCAGCGAGCCAGCATCCGTGTCTGCTTCTCTGAATGAAATATTTACTTTGCGTGCATAGGGAGACAGACGCGTGCCAAAAGGAATTAGGAAGTTAAGCATATATTTTCTAACATATTTGATAATTTACCAACGAATATCATAGATGGATGCTATTCTATCATTTTCTTTAGGTTTTTTTTTTAGTATATTTGGCAAATTTGCCACTTAGAAATTTATGTTTAATTTCGAATTATGAATTATTTATTTATTTTCCAGTAGATCGGTTTATTTACCAACAAGTAAATTTTGGGGTCGGTCAAGTTTCCGCCTGTATTAAACAAATTTCAAAAATAAATACCTAAACCATAATAATTTTGCACACAACACAACGAAAACTAGAGCATTTTTTTAAACTAGGGGCAAATTTGACCGTTCCCTCTTGTTTGTCAGTAGTACAGCAACAGGGGTATGACTACAAAAATCCGAACATAACCTCAATCTTTCATTCTTGACACGTGGTGGATGCGTCGTCGTTGACACGAAGGTGGATGCGCCGCCATGGCCCCATCTTGTCGACAGATGGCGCCATGGGACCTGCTCCCGTGGGGCTCTGCCCCCCAAAAAGGGGGCCCGCAGGGCTCCGCCCCCCAAAAAGGGGGCTAGCAGGGCTCCGCCCCCCAAAAAGGGGCCCCCGGATTTTAATATGGGTACCAGAAAAAGGGGTGGGGGGAAATGTTTTCCCGCCATTTTGTCAACCGTCACCTGTCAAACGTCATCTGTCAAACGTCACCTGTCAAACGTCACCTGTCAAACGTCATGACGTCATAGCGGGAGTTTTGAGTCGTTCCGGGTTCTGTGATGACGTCATAGCGACCTGGGTCACGTCCGTGGAGTCATTTAGAGTACATAGTGCAAAGTTTGATTCAGGATTCGGGTTCTGTGATGACGTCATAGCGACCTGGGTCACGTCCGTGGAGTCATTTAGAGTACATAGTGCAAAGTTTGATTCAGGGTTCAGGTTCTGTGATGACGTCATAGCGACCTGGGTCACGTTCGTGGCGCCATTTAGAGTACATAGTGCGAAGTTCGTTTCATGGTTCTGTGATGACGTCATAGCGACCTGGGTCACGTGGGTTACGTCAGTGCGGGTCCGTGGCGCCATTTAGAGTACATAGTGCAAAGTTCGATTCATGGTTCGGGTTCTGTGATGACGTCATAGCGACCTGGGTCACGTCCGTGGCGCCATTTAGAGTACATGTGTCAAGTTTGATGTGTCTTATAACAGGATGCTGTGGTGGTGACGTAACTATGAGGGTCCAGCAGCTAGCTTCATGTTGTACCTGGTAGAGGGTGTTCGAACTTAAGGATGATACACACCTACAGTATTGCTCATTGACCTCGTGTGCTACCATTTACGACGCCATAACTAAGTCATCAGCTGTTTAAACAACCTACGTCAAGGCGAGAAATAACATGCTGCTTACGTCACAACTGGTGATTTAACGTTGGGGAGAGAGTGGATTTGTTCCACACAGGCCTTATGAGGATAGGCTATCCTGTAGTAGTAGTGTGTATTATCCTTGGTTGGAACCAACGTTTGATGGGAAAGAGGCCTCGTTTTTTTATTAAAAACATACATTTTTTAAGACAACGATTTCAAAAAGCGAATATTTTTCATCAATAAACTGCTTAATATGATCCAATCATTTTGGTGGTACGTCTTGGGAGAAACACTGCGTTATCGTCAAATTCGATGAGTATTTCAAATCCATAGCTAAAAATATGCCACATCAATTGTATCGATTACCTAAGTATATAAGATATTTACTTACTAGGTTAAAATAATAATTTCTGTACAATAGTTTTATGATCTACCTTAATTTGTATAGTTTATTGGTTCCAGTAAAGATTTGCAATTATTTTGAGGTCTCTATCGTAGAAAATATTGGGAACTTTCACTTTATACCAGGTCTTATAATTTTCTCAGTGTTTTTGATCCTTTGTTATAAAAAGACAGGCCTTGTTGATTGATTTCAAATCCATATCTAAAATATTCCATAATTCTATCGATATCGATATTCACTTACTTGGTTAAAATGATAATTGTTGTGCAATAATTTTATTGTTGTTGACGAGTCTCAAACAAGACTGAAAGAGCTTAGTTATTATAAAATCCGATTCAAACTTCGAATTAACAACATAACATACAAAAAACGCTGTCAAAATATTGGAAATTTCACTTTCTATGAGGCTTCAGGTCTTGTAATTTTCTCAGTGTTTTCAATCCTTTGCTATAAAAAACAGGTCTTGTTGTTGATTGATATTAGTATATAAGATATTTACTTACTTGGTTAAAATCAAATTAATTGTTGTACAATAATTTTATATTTTCCACTGGTGACGAGGTTGAGCAAACTGAAAGAAGCTTGTTATTATAAAATCCGATTTAAACTTCGAAGTATCACATACAAAAAACACCGCTAAATGCAAACGCTTAATCGGCAGTTTTTTTATCTGAATTATATCAGGACCATTCGCAGAAGCCGCCCGCGAAAAACAACAACACATTTTAAAGATAATTTTTTAGTTTAAGGCGTAATTATTAAGTTAGATAGGTATTAATATGTCCATTTTTATTTTAAAAGGTGACAAATTCAAACAATTTATCAAAATTTAAAAGAATAGATTTAAATTAGCATCGTTGACATTTTATGAGCCAATACCCTATGCAATACAAAATTTCAGTGGATACATTGTTATTGTTACCTGTAAAAGATGAGGATTCAATTTTTATTCTTTGTACAAAAAACGCAGCATCCAGTACCAGTACTTTGAACCTGGATTTTCAAAGTTTGGTTTCTTGGGTGATAAGTGTCGGTTTCGAAAAACTGTAAGTACTATTTTTAAATATCTAAGTGATGTAGGATAAATCATGCCCTGAGACATATTTTAAATTAACACAAACCTCGATTATTGAATTATTTTTATTTTCCTTAACACATAAACATATTGTTTGTTTTTTAAAAATACAGACAACCCTGAGTACCTACCTATTTCTTAATTTAATTCCAATAGTTTTTTACGCAGCAACTTGAATTTACTTTTTCACTTACATTTGCACAAAACTCAAATTTCTTTTTCTAAAATTTAGGTAGGTTCTTTAACCAATTTAAACTGGTTTTATTTTTTCATTTACTTTAAAACAAACCTCCATAAACAGCGAATTTTTAATTTTGTGCACAAAATCGTTCACCAGGAAGGAGATAACCTGAAACGTCATGGGATTGCTAATCATCTTCCAAGATCTGTAACCAATGTGGTGGGATTTTTAAAGCAGAGGGGGCTATCCAACACCACCCAAACACCCAGCTCCAAGAGAGCCTCCAAACGAAAGGCTGGAGATCCCGCCGCCCCCATGCTGAAGCAAGCTAGACTTTTGCTGGTAAGTTGACATTAAGCGAATTTTTTAAATCTAATTCAATTATTTTCAGGACTTTCAATATCAGCCACATGCCGGTGGTGTGAGAATTGCGATTTGGAGGCACCGATAAATCAATGGGTTGGTCATCTTCGGTGTCTCTAGCACCGAGCCAACACCTGGTGAAGCAGGAGGAAGACGTTAGTCTTGTCAAAACATCTTTCAAGAACCGAATTGAAACATAGCGGCTTTCATCAAAGCAGGACCCTATCAGCGTGAAGCACGTTTTGAAATTAGCTGTGGCATACCTATCCAGTATTAGGACGGACGGAGGACTGAATGATTTTATGACACACTTACCAGGATAGCAGAAAATGCGTATGCAAAAAAATAATTTAGAGCAAACAGTTAAATAGCGCAAGGATATGAGAAAACTAACTTCGCACATTCTTGAGCAACCGACCCACCGAATTCAACAAACTTGCGTACACGTACACGAGAAGAAGGGGTTTTAAAACTAGTTTTTCCTTCAACAAATCACGGTAACTATGGAATAACATAATAGAGGACTAAAATATTGTCATATTTTAGTCCTCACTTTCAAGTTGAAACTGGAAGTGGATACCGGCTGCCACTACCACCCCCTGCTCATAAATAAATTTGGTCATTTGGGTTTTCAGGCATCCTGAACAAAAAAGTTCACAGAATTCCAGGAAAAAGAAAGCGGTGTGTATCATTTCAATTGCAGTGTTATATACTAAACAATGTCTCTTACAGGCTGGACGCTCCAACAACTTTAAGCTCTAAATATAAGTATCAATAGGATCATAACCCTCTAAAAGCCTATTCATATCTGCCAGTACCAGGATAACCTGTAACGTCATGGGAATTGCCGAACATCTGCAATCAATGTGGTGGAATTTTTAATTCATTTCATCCACAAATAACATGGGTTGAGGAAAAAAGTATGCGGAAATTTGGGATCTGTTTCTATTTAAATACTCAATATCTATTGAAAAAAAAAAATATTCAAGGGTGACGATAAAGACGTATTTCATTTTTATGATTATGAATATTGCTACAATTTAGATGGTAGTCGCACTCACAGTCCTATTAACCATATTGGCAATGATTGTTGAGAATAAAAATAAGCTTTAGTATAAACTATGTTTTATTCTCCTGAGAATGACAGAGATGAAGCCACCATTGATCTCTGTATACCACCAACTCACAGTCAAATAGCGCCAGCACACACTTAACATAATATCATACAACTTTTATTTATGTTCCAAAATTGTATCAAGATTATTTTCATTTCAATAATTTTTGAAAAGAAACTTCTTAAACGGCTTTCTGCTATTTGGACG